TATATATGTATGTATATTTTTAAAAGCAGTTATGACTTAGGTCAGAGGCCCTCCTTGGATTAGGCCATCAGATCGGTCTATACTTGTAATACTGATGATTCAGGGATCTTACAAAAGTTTACTCACCAGGGATTCACTGTATAACCTTGTTAACCAGGCAAACTTTCTGCTGCAATAATTAGTAACTCTGACTCAAATTAGTTTAAGCAGTAAGGGCATTTGTCATTTCCCATAGTCTTATAAGGCAGCTCAGGATGTGAGAGTGAAACTGATCACTGTCTTCCGCATGTCCTCCACTGGGGATCGAGCTATCTAAGTTGATATGGCAGAATTTCCTTCTTTTCTTTTTTTAAAAAAATCGTCACTTGAAGATATTCTTCCACTAATTTTTAGAGAGCCTTGACTCGTAATTAAACCAGCGACCTTTTGTGCATTGGATAAAGCCCAGCCAAGTGAGCCATTCCAGCCAGAGCACTGTGTCCCCTTTTAAGAACAAAGAGCACTTCCTCCAGAAACCTTATGAGATGCCTCTTCCTATCCCCACCCCGTTGGGTTACATGCCCATTCCTAAAATAAACACTAGTAAGAGTGAGGCCCCCAGGCCTGAGTTCGACCAAACAAGACTGTGTGTTTGGCTTCAGGAAGAAGAAAGAAGTACTTCTGGGACTAAAACTCTTCCTTACTAGAATTTTAAAAAAAGAAGGCCTGCCCAGCCAGCATGGCTCAGTGGTTGAGCATCGACCTATGAACCAGGAGGTCACAGTTCGATTCCTGGTCAAGGCATATACCCGGGTTGTGAGCTTGATCCCCAGTAGGGAGTTGTGCAGGAGACAGCCTATCAATGATTCTCATCATTGATGTTTCTTTTCTTTTTTTGTTAATCCTCACCTGAGGATTTTTTTTTTCATTGATTTTTAGAGAGAGTGGAAGAGCGAAGGAAAGAGATACAGAGAGAAAAACATCAATGTGAGAGAGACACATTGATTGGTTGCCTCCTGCACGAGCCTTGACCAATTACCTCGAGGTAACCAAACGATGTGTTAGTTTTTCTCTGTCCTTCCTTCTCTCTTCCATTCTCTAAAAAAATCAATGGAAAAATAATCCTGGGGTGAGGATTAAAAAAAAAAAAAAAAAAAAAAAAAAAAAGCAACAACAACAAAAAAACAATTGGAACAAAGGAAATCTTCTTTGGGTGCAGATTCCATAAAGATTGCAGAAATGTGTATGGTATAAGCCAGGCAATTCCATTTACAGCACTTGTGCTTTTTTGTGTGTGTTATAAAAAAAGATCTTTATTGATTCAGAGAGGGAGGAGGAAAGATAGAAACATCAATGATGAGAATCATTGATTGACTGCCTCCTGCATGGTCCCCATGAGGGATTGAACCTGCAACCCAGGTATGTGCCGTTGACTGGGAATCAAACCTGTGACCCTTTGGTTCATGAGCCAGCGCCCTAACCACTGAGCACATTGGCCAGAGCCATAGCCACTTACTGTATGGTCTTTGGCTGTTTTGTGCTATGATTGTGGAGTAGTTGTGACATAGTTTGGTCTGTGAGCCTAAACATTTACATTCTGGGGCCCTTTATAGTTTGCTGAGCCCTGATCTAAACAGTTCTGCCGAGGGGCAAAGAGGTAGGAGACAGATCAGAAGAGTACTCTGTCAGATGAGATGAAGGTTTCAAGAAGGAAGCTTTTTTATGTAGGTTGAATGTGGCAGGGAAGGCCATATGCAAGATGACTCAACAAGGAGGATTCCCCTTTATTAACTATTTGAAAATGACTGTGTAGGAGAGCAAAGTTGATTTTAAAACTTCACATTTTATTTTATGGAATATGGTCATTGTTAAGTTGGAGGCATGGAGCATAAGAGCTGTTCTGATACAGACTCTGAAAAAGCCCACCTTCCCATGGTCACTTTTAATGACTAGATCATGATTTTGTACATAAGACATTTCATCCATCAGAGCTGAAGATGCTCAACAACATTGCTAACTTTAAAAATTCTGCAGACAAGGTCTATGTAGGCAAACTATAAGCTTTTTACTAAATTGGTGTAGTGTGCACTTAAAATTACATATTCATAAAAAGAAGAGAAATTAAAACACACTTCTGTATTTCTTGCCACCTAAGTTAAATTCAGGCCTCTTTTCATACATAATGCAAAAAAGACAACCCCACTGCTAAGTTACACATTACTGCATATTAGAAATAGTTTCCTCTGGAGAATGCACCTTTTTTAAAGTTAGTAGCACATTTAACATATAATCAACCTAAAGTTAGAAAAGCCACTGCTTTGAAGGCACAGTTTGTTTTCAACTCAAAAGTGGAAATAAAATGTCTTATGGGTCCCAACTAGCAAGGAGGATGAGTTCACTGGTCTTGTTGTACCAAAGCCCCCAACACCCAATCCCAGCCTGGGAACCTCTGAGTATCTCTAGAGCAGTGGTCGCCAACCGGTGGTCCACAGACCACTGGTGGTCCATGAGGTCTGAAAGGTTGACCACTGCTTTATAGGTAGATGTTTTCTTTTTGATCATCACCATCATGTGCAAAGATTCTAGAGACTCCTTAGGTCTCCCTTTGTTCTCTGAAACACAACTTTGCTTTATAAGGTAGAATCAGCAACAGGTCCTTTGGGGGTGTGGGAAAAGGGGTAAAGATGCAGCAGACAGAAGCTGCTGGCCAGCACATAGCTTAGAGATAGTCCCTTGGCAAATGCCTTAGAATTAGGGGATCTGAACAAAAACATGTCAGAGGAAGACAAACTTCTATGAAAGTGAGAACAACTCTCCTTCCATATGCTTGGGTTAAAAATATGGGGTAAGATGATTAGCTTCATTAATCAAAGACAGACAGGGAAGGTACATAAAATAAGGTGCTACTTTGCTTCAAGTCAGTTATATCTCTAATCCCATTAGGCATATGGAAGGTTGCAGAAGAGAAAGTTTGGCAGTAAGGTGGCCTTTATTTGAAAATAAAAAGCTTAGATCTGAGGTATAATGACTGATCTCCATGAGTCTATGCCTCATAACAAGAAGAAACAATTATTACATCGAGGAAGGTGTTAAGCGAGGAAAAATACAGAAACAATTAGAATGACAGTGGAAATGTAATTCCTAGGTGCTCTGTGGACTGGCCTCATGTTTTTTAGCAGTCTTTTTGCTGAAAGCCCTGTGAACTTTAGTGTGGGCTGAGTACATGTTTAAAATTTTTCCTTTTACCAGTTATGAAGAGAATAATCATAATGAGCTCATCTGATAAATGTCTAACTTAATTACTTTTAATCACATCCTCGCGTCCTGGGATATTCATGACATGGATCATACTCCCTGACGTGGTTGTAACTTGACAGTAAATATCTACTGATGGAGGCTGTCAGTAATCTTAGGAAGGTCATGCATTATGGGATGGACCTTTAACAAATGTATCTATAATGTTATAATAAAAGCGTAATATGCAAATAGTCTGAACAGCCAAACAGTGGAACCACTATCCAGAAACCTTCCAGACAAATCGGAGGCAGCAAAGGTCTAATTTTGCACGAATTTCGTGCATTGGGCATCTAGTTGCTATATAAATACTGAGGCAGTGCTGCAGCACTTTGAAGAAGTTTCCTTTGCTTTAAGGGACTTTGTTTATAGGCTACAAAATGTAAGATCACTTAGCCAGTGCCATGTTTCAAATTGAAAGGCACTGTTATTTAAAAATTGACCTAAACTGGCTTATTAAAATCAGTCCCTTTGAGCACTTTAACATCTTCAAAATATTTTAATTTGTTTTTTAAAAACACAAAGTGCCTTGTGGCTTCAATTACTTTGCTGGAGTACCAACACAAAAAGAATCCATTTAATTATATAAATCAATTGTAATTAGTGCTTTTAAGTGATTCTTTTTATAAAATGAAGAACAAGCTGGACCAGTTCAAAATGATAATGTAGGGTTTTCTCTTTTAGCCAAATCCTTCTATACAAAGTCAGCATCATTTGTGGAGTTCCAGTTCTGAAACTGGCAGCAGAGAATCAAGTGCTGAGTCAAGTCACCTTGTAAGACATGCAAGGAGAGTGAGTGGGAACCCTGGATGGGTCAAGAGACCCAGGCACTGAGCGACCACTGCCATACTTGGGCTGGTCAGGGAGAGCTCCAGAGGAGTGGAGGGCTCAGAGAAAGAAGACCACTGCTTGGCCATGTCTGTGTGATGCTCCATTCCCACCAACTACATAGTGCCCCCGGTGGTCAGCCAGGCACAGCCTTGAGCCAGTGGAGAATCTGCCCCTAATCAGGAACAGAGTGTCAGAGATGAGGGCAACCGGGAAGGACTATCCAATTCTCTGCATATTTCCAGGCGTCACGGAGAGCGGGGCTGCTAAATAAAGGTATTGGGAAGGAAGGATCCTCCCACATAAACTGGCTCATAGGGTCCCTTAGCACTCTGACTCATGGTAAGACCTAGGAATGATATACCACACTTAGGAATTAAAATTCCACCCACATCTTTCCATATGCTCATTAAAGTAAGAAATGCAGTTTTTTTTCTTCTCATTCCAGCATGATATTAATCAAAGGGCCACGATATTAAAAGCAAGGAAACTGTAAAATTCTAAACATTCGGTTCAAAGAAGTGAACAAGTGTTGGCTCTCAGAAAAAGCGGGACACACACTTTCTCATAACAAAATCTCTTAAGACCCACTCGATTATAACATTTGCAAACACATGTTAAATTACATACTAAAATAATATATGAAATTTCTTGGAAACTTAAAAGATCTTTCCTGTCATGCTAGAAGTACTGACCTGCTGACTTTTCAACTATCATTACTGAAGAATGCAGTCAACATAGGGATATCTGGAGGATATATTTGAACCTAGTGCTCTTGTACTGTGCTCTGATCCTACTTGCTTGAACACCATCTTCCTGAGAAGACCAGAAGTTGTTCTCAAAACCTGGATCGAAGAATCTCTTTCAGAGATGATGGATCATCAAGAGTTTTAAAGTTGATGCAAATGGACATTACTTCGAAGGGTGAAACTCTGGCAAAAGACTTATTTGCAGTGAAGCCCAAATACCCTAGGCTTATGAGTTACTTGTTCACAAAAAGCAATGTAGCCTGTGGTTTATCAATGCTAGATAAGTTTCAGAAGTCAAGTACAGTTATTGGAATCAGTCAAACCATGTCAATGAAATCCACTGCACAAGAGAGGAGAAATTTTCGGGACAAGTTGGTAAGAAGCATACTTGCCCCTAATAAGTCTAAAATCAACATCCTGAATTACTTACAAGGATGTTCTGTCACAGCTGCAGAGTGGCTGAGGTTTGTTACTTGGGGAATCAAGCTTCATGCAGTATCAATGCCCTTTATAGAAGAACAGTTTCACTTAAAGGAGACTGCATTGCATTTTGAAGTGGCTCAATCTATCTTCTGCAGAGATTCACGACTATTCCTATGGCAACGGACTCAAGAGAGGATCACGGCCACTTTACACAGGATCTAGAACTTATATTAAAGTGAATAGAGGGGCAATTACTGGGTTATCTGAAGGGAAGATTGGGAAAATGGCAGAAGACCTGATTCTTACATGTGATTGGATCAAGCTAAGAGGGTCTGTAAGTGAGAATATGGCAGAGCTACTGTCAACACTTCTCAAGGAAAAGGGTGTCGCATCACCAGGTCTTCCTGGAGTTCTTGGAGAAACACTAACTCATAGGCTCCCCACAGCTTCAGATGATTGAGCTGGACTTGCAGGGAACCTAAATGTCATATTAACTCATGTCAATTTTACAACTAACTACATGACAAATTTTACTAAGTCACAGAAAAATTATACATTTTCAGGTTGCTTTTCTGCACAGGCTCAATCTGCTGGTGTCCAAACTACATTGTGGAATATTGGAGCCAAAGACTTATTACCTTACTACTGACTGTGATACTTGTACCTCTTTGATTATTGAAGAAAGGTTCAAATTATCCCAACCAGCTGTTTACCAAGGGTAAGTCTGGATGACTTTCCTGCCCACTGCAGCTCAACACCTGAGTGGGTTGGTGACCAGCAGTAGCAGTGAGGTTCAAACTTGGGCAAGAAATCTACATGTCTTTGTATCAAGAATCAAGAGAATTACATACATTGCTCGACTCAGGTCAATCACCAAGACAACTTGAGCGGTTGCATTGAGTCATTTTGCCCCTCAGGCCATTTCATTATTTGCTCTTTTTGGTTCACCTGTACCATAAAGAGGAGCCCCCTTGCTGCTGTCTGCCACCAACTCAAACTCAGCACTGTTTTTACCTCAATCATCTACTGTAAGGTGGGTATCACTCGCTGATGAAAATCAGATTTATGATCTGGCTCACAAGATTGGTATCTTGGGTCATTACTTGGTAAAAGGGTCATTACCTCGGAACTCATTGGTAATCAACTTACTTATGTGTGGTCTAACTCAATGATCATCTCAGGTAATTAAGGTGATGAGAAGGTTAAAACTAGATAAGATCCAACAATACTATAGCAAGTCTCCAGATACTGACTGATTGCTAGGAATGTTAAGACCACTGACAACTCCAGTTAAGCATAAGAGTGAAGCAAGTGAGACACTGTCATTTATGAGAAACACAGGTTGCCAAATGCATACTCTTGTTCACTTCATACCATTTTCTCCTGAGTGGCATCTCTCTTATTTGCTCAAGGCATTTATTGTTTCTAGAAATGTATCATTGATTGTTGTATCAAGATACTCCAGACCATCTGGTCACCATTTGTCTCGTCCCTAAAACAATATAAAGGAAATGTCAGGTGGTTTTTTAGGCACAACTGTTAGTCCTGTGATAACTAAATATATCCAGTATTATAAGCCAAAGCTCAAACCTAAAGATGTCCTCTAATTGAATTCTTCCTCTCCATAGTCAAGAAAAAGGAAGGACATTAATGGTAATACAATGAAGAAAGCAGAATTTCCATCTGCAAAGACTTTCTTAAGTCTACATACTTCTTCAGGCTATTTGCCAACTCAGTGATCCAGAGAAAGTAGGTTTAAGTAATACCCGATTCCAGGAATGGGAGAGGTAGATGTTCAGATATGTGGAGATCAATTGCTATTAGTAATATTTTTCTAGGACTTAAAAAAAAGTTGTATTTATTTTAGAGGAATTAACTATTTCCCCCCCCCCCCCCCCCAAAAAAAAGAAAAAAGATACTCCAACAGAGGTCATCCTCAACCTATGCCATCTTATTCATGTAGTGATAAAAACTGATGGGAGTCCCAGGACTCATTGAGAAAGTACAGTTTGCTGACCTGTGTGGGACAGTTGCAAAAAATCTCAGCTGTGAACTTTCCTTACCTAAGTATTATTATGATCACTATGGTACTCATCCAAATAGCCTTCATTATTGCCCTCTAGAAGACATTTATGCGGTCAAAGGACCATGTGAGTCAGTTCTGACTATGGCGCTATTCTTCTGTGGTAAACATGTAGATTTTAGTGATGAGTTGTCAGCCATACAATGTATCAGATCTTTGTCCTGCTGTGTGCCCTGTTGCAGAGGCATTGCATGAAAATGTTGTGTTGCCAACTCTTGTCTGGAGGCATTGGGGGAGTTTCCTGGTACAGTCCTTAAATCCTGAAGGGCAGAATCAGAGTGGACCCGGCATGCCAGTGTCATACAAGAAATACCCCAATTGGTTCAAGAACTCCATGAATACCTCAATATTATAAGGCTATCAATGGATTTGAAATATTACAGAGTGAAAACACACTACTTATCAACATTAAAGGGAACAAAGAAATTGTCACTATCTAAACCCGGTATACCGGCAACATGTAAAAGCACTACCTCATTCTTCATTAAGCCTGATCCCTCTGTAGCCTTGGGAGATGTTGGCCGACTGCTGTAATCTGCCATTAATAATTTTAAACTTAAGAGAAAAAAAAGAAAAGGAAAAAAAAATCTTTCAAATGTTTTCATCGTCATGGAGTGGAAATCCTTCATTGTCTTTAAAGTTGTCGAACTTTTTTTTCTGTGCTTTTTATATTGATATCTAACTTGTCCACTTTGGTTGTGAGGCGGCCAATAATGTCATCTTGCTCCTCAATTTCGGTCTGCATCCCCAAGGCTATGTCCTTCAGCCGGCCCAGTCCTGAGGACAGCTCATCTGTGGGAAAGGAAAGCACATGCAGCCTAAGCAAACAGTGATGGCATTGGGAATTGCTTTCTTGTTCCCTCCCAGATGTTCAGTGACATTTATTTTATTTTTTTTGAGAGGAAGAGAGAGGGAGGGAGGGAGAGAGAAAGAAACATCAATGATGAGAGAGAAACATCAATCAGCTGCCTTTTGATGCCCCATACTGGGGATCAAGTCCACAACCTGAACATGTGCCCTGACTGGGAATCAAACCGTGACCTCCTGGTTCATAGGTCAGTATTCAGCCACTGAGCCTTGCCGGCCAGGCTGTTCAATGACATTTAGATTACAAAGTCCTCTTCCTCACATAACAGGCTAATAACTTCTAGTGTTCTGGTTACATTTTCCAAAATATATGCAAGTGAAAAGGAAATCTGTTTAATCAATAGAAAGTAGTATGTTCTTAATGTAAAATCACTCTTTCCCACACTATCCACCAAAGATAACCACTGTTAATAAATAGTGTTTATCCTTTCAGTGTTTTATAAAGTTCATCTAGACCTATGTATTTTTTCAGCAACCTCTGAACCTTCTAGAAAATTGCTGCCAATTGCAAGATCAATTAGCACCCACAGAAAAGAGCACAGAGGAGCCTGGAAACAAGTTCCCTTCCTAAGACCCCAGGGTGAATATTTGGAAGAGGTGCACTGGTTCTTAATAACCAGACCCACAGGCTTGCTCCTCAGGGGCAAGAACTCCGTGTCAGTGGGTAATACCTGCTCTTTTTCCTTCCATCTCTAGCGCCCTAAAGCTAGTTCCAGCACAGATCCAGAGTGAAAAATATGAGAATCCCAGTTTGGAAACATGTCCGAGAGATAGACCTGGGAATCCCTGTGCAACGGGAGTCCCTGTATTCACCAGGCTTAAAAGAAATGTAGTGCTGAGGTGCTTGCTGGGTTCCTTCAGAGATGCCAGCTGGCTGAGCCCCAGGTAACTGGAGTACACTGCTTTTGGCAAAGGTTCAACTCTTGTGCAGGTTACATCATTATTGTTGAAATTCAAGTTGAAACACAACAAGAGTCCTTCTCCTACTCGGAAAGTATAGCATGAGAGGAAATCCAGGCTAACTCCACTGGGCCTAGTGTAAATTCTGACCCTGATCTTTAGGTGAGCTCTGACCTGGCCCAGGACCCTGACCACATCTGAGGTGAGCCCCCGGTGAGAGAAAGGTCCCTGGGGAACCTGGCCACAACGAACCCCCTTTCCGAGCTCATTCTATTTCCCTCATTAGGTTGGTCCACTATTGGTAACATATCTTTTCCTTCTGTTCTAAAATCAATCTCACATTTGTTTTCAAGAGGGATAATGTCTATAAGGTTGTGGTCAGTCTTAAGAGTACATGAAAGGTTTACTTGGTATAGAAGACTTAAAAAGAACTGAGGGTAAGTTGGGGGAAGAGGCATAGAAGGATTCTGGGGTTCCCTGATAACACTGTGTTAACTTTAAAAATGAGTCTTTTTTTTTCTTTTAAAAATATGGAAAGCTTCACGAATTTGCATGTCATCCTTGCACAGGGGCATGCTAATCTTCTCGTGCGCACACTCACACACATGCACCTGCACATGGGGGGTAGGAATGGGCATGCCCAGAGCTGCTTTCTGCCCTTTTACTAAGAACAACAGAGCAGAAAAGAGCCAGGGAAAAGAGAAAAGAGGAGGTGCTTTGTAAGCCTCTTAACAGCTAAATTACAGATAAAACACTAAGTGAAAAAAGGCCAGAATCCACAAATTCTGGCACTGGCACCATAAATCTAAGCAGGATCAATGAAAAAAGGAAGTCTTCAGCCCTATGCTTCCTGAGTTTGTTTGTTTATTTATTTATTTTATTTTATTGGTTTTAGAGAGAAACCTGTGAGGTATCCCAAGGCCTTAAGAAACTTATCAGCAACTGGGACAGCCAGTGGGGCAGGTTCCCGTTCATGCAGCAAAGGTCAGAGGAGGCAACACTGACTGAACCACCACCTTGAATAATCACATGAAACTCGCTCACAGAGTCAACTCCTATTGTTTGCACCCACAACACTCCTCCATTTGAACTTCAAATGACTGACTTTTCTCTCTTCGTTCAAAAAATAATCATTGAGTGCTTGCCTCTTAGGTCCTGGGTGCAAAGTGATGACAAACTGAAATATTCCTGTGTTCTTGGGAATTTATAGTCTGGTCAGGATGACATCAGATAAGCCACTGTAGTGGAAACAATAGGGTGCTCTGATAGACAAGAGGTGGCCACATTAAAGCAAGGCTGAGAGCATGAGGAGCCAGCTTGCAGAGTGGAAAGAAGGCAGATGGCAGCTGTGGGCAAGTAAAGAACTCAAGTGATGAAAGCAGGAGTGTGGAGAGGCAGGCAGGGACCAGACGCCAGTGTAAGAGACCTGGACAGTAAGGAACCCAGCTGCGTGGCCAATGTGCTATAAGGGCCACATGAGTGCTTGCTCTTACCAGGACAGCAGTTTCCTAAGTGCTTGATGGTGTTGCTCATGTACCCCTTACCCAGTCTTCAGAGGCAGGTTCTGTTTCTGAGCCTGGTTTGCAGGGGAGAACATGGGGATCCACATGCCAGGTGGCAAGAATGAAGTGAGCAGGGTTCAGGCTGCACTGTGTGGCTTCTCAGGGACTCATGGTCTCTGCTAATGTCATAATCCAGACAAGAGTTGAGAATGAAAAGAAGTGAATACCGGTAGATTCTAGAGAATGAGGGGTGAGGGGTGAGATGCAGATAACTTATAGTGGCTCTGACATGTGATCAGGAAGAGGCAGGGATGACGTTTTAGTCCTGAGAATTTGGGTCCCTACTTGTGCACTGGCTGGTTTGGCTGAACTGCCTGGAAGATAAAGACCTCGAGTAAGGGATCTGTGGAAGTTAGTGCAACTTTCAGTCTTACCTAGATTGTTGTCAATCTTCTGGTGATAGGCTCGAAGGTGTGGGTTCTTCGGGTAAGCCTCGGTACTCACAGCAGAAATGGCCCCTTCAGGGATGGAGTCTGAATTTAGAAAGAAACACCAGGAGAACTTTTTTAACTGATGTCTCTAGAAATATTGCTTCACCAAATTAACCTTAATCTCCAAAATGGGGCGGATGGAATAAGGTCAATGAACCAGAAACCAATCGAAGAGAGGAGTGTGTGAATGGATAACATGCAGGGGCAGGAGCCCTGAGGGAGGGAGAGATGCTTCCTCAGGGCAGCCCCTCAGAGATCAAAGACCCTTATGCTATGGGTGACCTGGTCAGACACAGGCACACAAGCTCCGAAGACACAGATACATCCAAGTAAAAGGATGGCAGTGGAATTGCCACAATGCACAACTAACTGCACATGCTCATGGACACAGTGTAAAGGACAAGCGTTAAAAATGAAAAGGGTTAAAAATGAAAGGGATAATGGGCATTATTTTTCTTTTTAAAATTTATTTCTACTTCTTTTCAATTCAAACAAAATAAGGAAAAAAGAAATGATAATGTACTATACATTTGCCCCTAGAAATACTGAACAATACTGAAGCCATTCTACATATACAATGTCATTTTCTTTCTCTTTTTTTTTTTGAGTCTCTTAAAACATACCAAACAAAAACTTCCTTTAATTCCTTAAAATCATATATTTTGGTTGTAGGGCTCCTGCTCCACCATGAAGAGCTCAAATTTTTTTCTTCTTCTAGATTTAGTTTTATTTTGTCCCACGATTTTTGCTTTTCCAGACTGAACTGCACAAATCTCAGTCTTTCCTGGACCCCTGGCTCTTCCTCATCAGGTCTCTCCTTAGCTGTGCCAACCATGACAGAAGTGGATTCTAGTGCTTCCAGGTTGTATCCCATTTTCCTTGAAGGTAGTACAGAAAGCATCTGGTTTCTGGAGCCTTCCACTGAGCCTTGCTTTCTAGGGGTCTACAGAAGCCCCAAGAAGGTCTAAATTCCTTTTTTGGGTAAGGGATGTTTCTGGGTCTGTCATTTAATATCAACAGCATAATTTCACACAAAATGTTCTATCTTGCACACCTTTTCCATGCTGCCGCTTCTCTCCTCACTCAAGCTTGAGGCTATATTAGTCTCCAACTGCTGCTATAACAAACTTATCCTTCAGTTCTGCAGGTCGGTAAGTCCAACTTGGGTCTCACTGGGTGTCAACAGGGTTGTGTCCTGCTGGAGGATCTTGGGCAGAATCCAATTCCTAGCCTTTTCCAGCTTCTAGAGGTAACCTGCATTCTTTGGTAATGGCCCAACCCTCCGTCTTCAAAGCCAGCAGCGTCTTCAAAGCCAGCAGCGCAGCGCCTCCAGTCTCTCATTATGACACTCCCTCTTCTGTCCCCTTTTCCACTAAGAAAGGACCTTTGTGATTTCACTAGGCCCAACTAGATAATCCAGGATAGATAATCCAGGATAATCTTCCCACTTCAAGCCAGCTGATTAGCAACTATAATTCCCTCTGCAACCATATTTCCCCTTTTGCCACATAACATATTCATACAGGATCTGGGATTAGGATTGGACATCTTTAGGGAGCCATTATTCTACTAATCATAAGGGTTTTCTTACAATTGGCTTTTCTTTTTAATTTTTTTCTCTTTTTGTTTACAGTGGGTTATACCTGCCACCCCAGTAGGGTTATAGCCCCCATCCATCAAGTTCCAACACCAAATCCAGAGGTTCCCCCCAGAATACAAATGTGGGAGGAAGCACAGGTCCCCACTAACCTGAATCATTCAGCTTCCTGAGGTTTGGGTGGCTGGCCTGGTACTGTGCCTCCTGTTCTTTACTTGTATTTATAGCTTCTTTCAATCTTTTGATAAAAGTTAAAAGGAAAAGTTTTAGAAAAGAAAAACAGTTATGATAGTATAGTCAGTCTTTCCAAGTAATGCCTGTGTGAGAAAATCAAATGATTCCTCTGACCAAAGCAGGAATTCCATCAGCACAGCTTGGGAGCCCGCTGGCCATGTAGCAAGCTTCCAACACACCTGTTTTAGAAGTGAAGCATCTGGTTAGGTGGCCCTCCCTCAGGAAAACAAGGATTCTAGTTCCAGGTGGAAAAGGAACAAATGAAAAAACCAATTGGGTACTTTAGACTGGGACTCAGCAACTTTGACCCTAAGGCCATATCCGGCCTGCCACATGTTTTTGTACAGCCACAAGCAGAGAATGGCCTTTACAGTTGTCCACTGGCAATTACTTAAATGACAGGGAACATTAATAATGAACCTTAAGAATTTCAGTTTTCCATTAATAGTTCTGTATTACATAAAAATTGTACTCAATTATTATTTCCCTCAATTCTCTTACCACTAACATTTTTTTGTTTGTTACATAAGTCTATAAAATATCTTTGATTTTGCTTCCTAGCCTGCAAAACCTAACTTCAGCTGTAAGCAGGGACTTCTCTTGACAACTCAGAGATACTCAGCTTGCACCCAACACCCCACTGAACCCCGACAGGTGTGGCACGTGTCTCCAAAGCTGAGCCTCTCACACCATCTGTGCTTCTCCACTTCTGCTGACTAGTAGCCTGGCCACTTCCTCAGCCAAGCTGAAATCCAGTTATCCTCCATTTTGGCCTTCCTTCTACATGAATCATGGAAACAAAAGTCCTCTTACTCTTCCATGTATCCCAGAAACCTGGCCAGACTTTGTCAGGCCAATGATTTTGCAGGCTCCTAATGCTCTACTCATGTGTAGAATAGAGCAGGACCTTCTGAAACCTGAGATTTTCATTACTCAGCAGCAGTGACTAAGGTCTACAAAACACAGCTGGTTTCTCCGAACATGACAGTGAGCCCCATGTGTTGCCAGACTGGGTGTATGTGGGAGATGTGTGTGTGGCTTCTGAGCTCACCTGGCCACCATAGAGCGAGAGAGAGTTATGAAATCTTTGTAATAATATTACACCAAACATTTTTATGGGTTAATGGAAGCAGGCTACAAGCCAAAAGAGTACTCTGATACAATACAACTCAAATCACTGCCATGAGAAGAAAAATTTCAAGTTTTTGTGTTATGGCAAATAAGATGCAAATTTTCTGCAATATGGCTACACTAGAGGCCTGGTGCATAGATTCAGGCACAGGTGGAGTCCCTTGGCCTGGCCTGCAGGGACTGAGCTCCAACATCCCCCGAGAGGTCCCAGATTTTAACACACCCTGGAATCAAGCTCCCTCCTTTCTGGTTCTGGGTGCATCACCCCAGAACCACAGTTGCCAAGTCACTTGTGTTGAGCATCTGCCCCCCTGGTGGTCAGTGTGCGTCATAGCTACTGGCCAATGGGCAGGTTGCTTAGGCTTTTATATAGTTTTTATAATAAAAACAGACACTGACTTGAGATATGAATAGTACTAACCTATTTTAACAGAAACTCAATTCTTTTTCTTAAAGATATTTTTACTGATTTCAGAGAGTAAGGAAGAGAGAGGGAGAAATATCAATGATAACCTGGGGATTGAGCCTGCAACCTGGGTATGTGCCTTTGACTGGACTCGAACCTGGGACCTTTCAGTCTGCAGGCTGACGCTCTATCCACTGAGCCAAACCAGGTAGGGTGTTTTTTGTTTTTTTAAATATATTTTATTAATTTTTACAGAGAGGAAGGGAGAGTTAGTCAGAAACATTGATGAGAAACACTGACCAGCTTCCTCCTGCACGCCCCCCATTGGGAATGTGCCCACAACGAAGGTACATGCCCTTGACTGGAATCGAACCCGGGACCCTTGAGTCCGCAGGCTGACACTCTATCCATTGAGCCACATCGGTCTGGCAGGGTGATTCTTTTATTTTTTTAAATACATGATTTAAATGCCTGTCAAAATCATGTGCATGATTTCATTATACTTTAGCCCAAAATATTGAGAATAATCTTTAATTTTAAAATAAAAATCAGTTGGTAACTTGGATTAAATATGGAAAAGTTCACTATAAAGACTTTTTTTTTTTTAAAGGAATAAGGTGTTTTTAAAAAAATACATTATATTGATTTTTTACAGAGAGGAAGAGAGAGGGATAGAGAGCTAGAAACATCGATGAGAGAGAATCATCTATCAGCTGCTTCCTGCACACCCCCCACTGGAGGTGTGATAACCTGGGGATTGAGCCTGCAACCTGGGTATGTGCCTTTGACTGGACTCGAACCTGGGACCTTTCAATCTGCAGGCCGACGCTTTATCCACTGGGCCAAACCGGTTTCAGCTATAAAGACTTTTTAAAGCAAAAATTTGGTTGAGTCACATTTGTACTGATTAAGCTTTCTGAAGTGAATATTCTCTCTTTCAAACTACTGGGGTCAAACTAAAAGCTACTGGAGCAGTAATTTTACTGGAGATCCATTTACTGGGTATCAGTAAGAGAAGGTAATTAGGAGTGCTGGAGAAATATGTAGGGGTGGCTTGTCCTGCTTGTTTTAAATTGTTTGAAAAGGAATTCCTCCCCATGAGAAACTTACAATGTACTTGGGTCTCTTTAAGGCACTAGAAGTGACCTGAGAGTTTTGGCTCTTTGCACTAAAACCCACTTTCTGCTACTTCACATCAGGATGGCTAAAGACCCACTCACCTGCTGTTGGGCTGGGGAGTGAGGGTGCCATTCTGTTCAGATGTAATCTCTGCTGGTTTAGATTTGAAGTAATTGACGAATCCCCCAAACACACTCTTAATGCTGTTAATGTGCTTCTGACTGATCTTCAAATCTTGATCCATTTTGTCCACCATCTTCTCTGTGCGTTCCAAGACTCCTCGCTGACGGACGAGTTCCTGGGAAAAACCAAAGGCGATGGCAATACATATTGAAATGAAGCTGAAGAGGCACTTAGGGCAGCTGGGGATGGGAATGGTGGCCAGGGCTCTGGCTGCCCTGACAGTGAACTTTCCCATCACAGTTCAGCTCATCTTATAAACTACTTACCCTCCCACCTTGGCCTGTCCACCTCAATTTGGAGACAGCAGTAATAAGCACTTGACAAATTCATAGTGAGATTTTTTTTTTGGTTTGTTTACAAGTGACACAGTCTTTCAAATTCTGAGTCTACATAACTGTGCTGACTCAGTAAGGAAACCAAACATCCTATTTAGATGTTATGATAGAAGCACGGAGAAATATGTAGGGATGGCTGGTCCTGCTGTGAGGCTGAAAGGTCAGGAAGTGAATGCTGCTTTGGTCTCTGGAAGGTTCTGTGAGCTGGAAGCTGGAGTTTATTGTAGGTGATTTGCTGGTCAGGAACTTGTACTAAAATCCTCCTTCAAGGCAGAGGAAAGTACTAGTCTCATGTATCTGTGACCTAGTTCTAATCAACGAGGATGACGGCTTAGCAGAACAAATACCAAGAGTGCCAGGATAGAAAAAATAGTCCAGACAGGCTCTGCCCCCAGCCATTATGAAGGCAGGTCCCAAGTGCTCCCATCCCAAGGCATGCTCCCATCCTTCAGAGGAGGGTCATGTCAGGACTTCTCTATTGGTTCCTGTGAGAACGGGAAGTCATCTAAGAGACAAGGGTGATTGTGAACTCTACAATGTGCCCTTAGTGTAAAGGGCACACACACAAAGCTCTTAGCTCAGGTGTTAGCATTACAGGTGATTCCCCCTCTTCCTTGAGCCCCAAAAAAAGTTTTCTAAAGTTAAACTGGAAAAGAAGATGGTTGAAGGAAAAATCTGATTGGAGATACAATGCTAAGGGACAGCACAGAGACGAGAATCTCAATTCCTCTTTGGTTTGTGGCTTTTTGTCAAACACAGAGAACCCAGATAGAACAAGGGGAAGCAGAAAGACAGCTGAAGAGCCTGTGAGGGTGTACACTGCCCCATGTGAGATGACACCTGCCTGAGAAGTATGTCTAAGGGTTATGTGCGGATGTGAAGACTCTAGGGAATCATGGCTGGCAGAGTGCTCTTTGAAAACCCACACACAATGACAGACACTTCAAGGTACCCACCAACACTTATTATCAAGCACTCTCTCTGCCAAGCACTGATCCAGGTGAATGGGACTCAGGGCTGAACACCCCAAATCTCTGCCCTAATGGAGCTGACAGTTTAGCAGAGGACGATATGAGAGAAGTTAAATCTGACTTTTCATTTGTTGATAAAAATGCTGTGCTGACAGTCCAAGGAAGGCAGCTAGATCTTTGCTTCACTGAGCTTAGTCTTATGGGAGAAACAGAAAAGGCATGATATACACATGATCAAGGCTCTGCCAGGATAAACCCCTGACAGGGACTCCTCACATGGTTTAAGAGGGTGGGGTCAGTGAGGCTCTCCAATGGGTGAGAAACTGAAAGCTGAGAAGTTAGAGAGTCAGAAGGTCAGGTGGGGCAAGAGGGAGTGGTTGGTGCAGCAGCAGGGCCACTGGGGGAACTGAGAGAGGAAGAGGAACTATATGTGGTGAGCATGATAGGGAGTAGGCAGGGATGCTGGACAGGACTCAATTGATGGGCAGAGCTATGGGCTTCATGGGGCAGCAGTGGCCACCACACTCCAAACCCTATTTACAGCCAAGGCATCGCATAATGTCAGATGGATCTCATCATCTTCCCTTAGTAATGCTCTGAGTTCCCAAGGGAAAGGTGTCAAAATATTGTTTCTCATATTGAGCTTGTAATTAAACTCAGGTATCAAATGATAAGTAGGGGAGAGAAACCAAGATGGCGGCATAGGTAAATACCTGAACTGCTGCCTCGCACAACAACTTCAACACTACAACTAAAAGACAAAATGGACATCATCCAGAACCACAGGAAGGCTGGCTGAGTGGAAATTCTACAACTAGAAGGGAAGAGAAAAGCACACTGAGACTCAGAGGAGCTGCGAAAGTAAAGGGAGAGGTTCGGAGGCGCACGCGGAGATGGTTGGCAACTGAGTACGTGGCTGGCTTTTTCAAGCTGGAGGGAGACCCAAGCTCCCGACTGCTCTGAACTCCGGGCGAGACTCTGGGGATCCAGACTCATATGGGGAGAAACTGGACTGTTAGCCAGGCTGCCATGCAGGCATCCATGTAGACATGACTAACCCCCAATAAAATCTATTATCTATGTTTTTGGCTCTTTTGAGTTAGGAGAACAATCTTTCCCTCTAGAACACAAAAGTCTCCTTTGCTGCCTCCTCCAGGCTCTTACCTGGACTCATGTGCATCACTTCCCTGCCCCGGAGCCTAGAAGCTCCGGTTCCAGGTTCCAGGCCAGTGTCTCAGCATTACTCCTTGTTCCCTGGGAACATCCGTCTTCCTCCTCCCTCTTCTTGTCTAAACCTTAGCCATAAAAACCAGCTTCAAGCTTATCTGCTGTTATGATACTGAGACTGTATCATTCTGATTTCCTCCATTTGTTCTCACTGTTTGCATATACGTCTCTTCAAACAGTTTTTAGTTGAATTCCTTGGACTTGGGACACTCAATTAAGTGACCCCTCCACCAGGGCCCTAAGACCTCAGCAATCTTCCCAAATCTGAGTCCTCACTTCCCATTTAGACTCAAAAACAGGAATCCAGTAGATATGACATGTAAGAACCACAAGCTAAACTTCCTCAATAAGGCCAAAGATAGGAAGGTGAGCCAAGTAAGGGAGGGGAATCATCCAAGAAAGGGGCAATGAGGAAATGAAGGAGATGACTATTTGAGAAGTTAATCAATATACCTCAAACTGTCCAAGACCGTAAGTGATCAGGTCAGAATGAATTTTGCCAGGGAAAAAGTTACAAGGAGACCACAGAGGAATACAATACATTAGTTTCTAGCATTACTGTTCAAAGCTACATATGCCTAAAATGAATTATTCTTAGCTGACAAATCAATAATCTACAAACATAAAGAATTTTTACAATAATTTTTTTAAAACTTAAAGAAAAGAAAAACTTAAAGAAAAGATGCCCACACAAAACCATTAGTAGGCAGAGGAGGAATGTGGTGCCTAAGAAAGAACAATCCTGCCCTGGCCGTTAGGGCATCCACTGATGCACCAAAATGTTGCCAGTTTGATTCCTGGTCAGGGCACAGCCCGGGTAGTGGGCTCGATCCCGGTGCAGGGTGTGTTCTGTTCTGGCACCAATGTTTCTCTCTCTCCCTCTCTCTCTCTCTTTCTCTCTCTCTCTCTCTCTCTCTCTCTCTCTCTCGGCACCAATGTTTCTCTCTCTCTCCCTCCCTCTCTCTCTAAAATTCAATAAACTATTCTTAAAATAATAATAAAAGAACCATCCTCAATTGTAGAACATCATGCTGAGTGAAATAAGCCAATCAATGAAAGAGAAACACCACATGACCTCACTCATTTATGGATAATAAAGAACATTATAAACTGATGAACCAAAAGATAGATATAGAGACAGTAAAGCAACAAGCAAACTGTCAAATTACAGTGGGGAGAGGAGGGAGATCTGGGGGAGATAATAGATCAACCGAAGGACTTGTATACATGCATATAAGTACAGCCAATGGACATAAAACTCTGGGGAGGGAGAGTATGTATGAGAGGGAGGGGGGGAAAAAAGAAATCAATAAAATATATCAAAAAAAAAAAAAGAACTATCCTCATATAAGGTTCTATTCTGAAATTTTGAAAGAACTGACAAATGTGCGTTGGAACAATGGACTGTCCCAGCCACACACGCTGTCTATTTAGATCTTGGTTTGGATTTGAGAAGTAAGGATAAGGCTCTATCACCTGCCCACACTCCTGCTTTGGCTCACTTGGCCGGTGCCCAGGCAGACAAGACCTCACCACCTCTACTGGCCAGGTGGAGAAGTAGTCACTGATAGAAAAAAATATCAAGGCCTATTTGCTTTCATGCTTCAGACACCAGCAGGCACACAGTGCTCACTCATTCTGGGTCTCTGGGGCGAGGAATGGCGGAAGCCCTTGGGCCAGACTTATGACCAGAAAATTATGTACAAGAAACAGACCCTCCATTTTCCTAACCCAGGCTTGGCTGTTCAGATTATTTTTACTCACCTGGACAGTGTGGAGTGTACCTTTGAACTAGGAGTAGAAACAAAGAACCAAAAACTAAGCAGCTTAATGGCTAAGGAAGATTCCTGGGGGCAAACTGCCTCTTTCAAGTCCTCAAGATGCACCTCTCTTTTACAAAGCTAACAGATGATTACAAATCATCAAGTCACTCAAGTACAAGGACCTATTCTAGGCAATTCGAGAATGGCCCAAAGGTCATGAACAAAACACTTCTTGACCCCTTATGTCATAAGGCTTATGACAACACGGCCTGGCGGGCCCAGCCCCGGCCCTGATCCAGGCTCACCTCGGAAGAGGCGACCCCGACCTTCTCGGACTCGTACATGAGCGACAGGGACCTGTTGGTGCTGGCGGCCGTGGCCTCGGCCCTCCGCATCACCTCCTGCCGCAGGTACTGCTGCCGGTCCCCAGGCGCGCTGGGCCCGTCGGGGAGGTCGCGGACGTCCTTCCACGGTGCCGGCGGGGCGCCCTCATCCTCCGCGTCGTCGTCGAAGGGGTTGTAACTTTTGTGGTAGGCCGACATGGTCCCGGCGCTCGGCTTCTTGTCAGGGCAGGAGCAGGAGGGGCTCGGCCGGCCGAGGCGAGGAACGGCCTTTCTTGGTCCGCAGGGGTCCCGGCTGCCCTCCCGAAGCTCTCCGGAGGCGCCCACCACCCTGGCAGCTCCACGGGACCACCGCCCTCCGTCCGCCGCCGCAACCGTCCGACGACTCGGCGCTCGCAGCGAGAGCTTCTTCCGCGCGTCGTGCGTGGGTGACCTCGCGTCAGGAGCGAACCATCGTGCCCAGCGGCCTGGGGGGGGAAACCGCGCATGGCGTGCGCCGCCTGACCTAAGTCAAGGCTCTTTCCCCCCCTCTAGTGGTGGTACCGCCCACGGCCACGCCCCAACTAGTTTCGGCAACAGAGAGGTCACGTGGTAGGAAAGCCGGATGCGGCCGCGCCTGCGTGGTGAGCTCCGGCGTTCGCGGGCCGGTGCGGGAAGCCGGCGGGCTGCGCTGCGCCGCTGTGCGCGTGATGATGGCGGCGGCAGCGGCGGCGGCCCGGGGAGGCGGCGGCTCCAGCTGCGGTTCCGGCTCCGGCTCCGGCTCCAGCGCCTCGCGGGGTTTTTATTTCAACACGGTCCTGTCATTGGCCCGCTCCCTGGCCGTGCAGAGACCTGCATCCTTGGAGAAGGTAGCCCGGGCCGACCCGGCCGCAGGCTGACAGAAGGGGACCGGGGCGCCCTTGGGGGTGGGAGGGGCTGGGCGAGGGGCTGCAGGAGGCCGAGAAGGGGGTCGCGTACTGCCTGTGACAGGTGGCGTCTCGTGAGCCGAGGTGGTCTGTGGGCGGAGGGGGTTGGAAAGAGACCGGGTGGAGGGGGAGTGGGCCGTGAGGAAGCAGAGTCGGGGGCGCTGCGGTGGGTGGGCGGGGGCGTGTGAAATACAGGCTGGGGTTCGAACTGAGGGGGCACCTTGTGACATCGCTGGGGCGGGGGCGGCAGTGAGGAGCTAGTGGCAAGAGTTCAAGGACCAGAGTGAAAATCTGGGTCTCTGCTCCTGACGTCCCCTGCTTTTTATTCCGTGACTCTGGAGAGATGCCTCCTCTTGTAAAAATGGGGGTGCTTTCACCTGCGTGCCCGCTTCACGGGATTGTCGTGTGAAGGGCAGATGAAGTAGTCACTGTATCGGAAAGTGCTTTCTGAGATGCAAACCTACTGCGCATTGTTTTTCTGTGACACTAGAGGGGGCCTTAGGTTGGGTGACAGATCGCGTGTTACAGAGGCTGGGAAGCGGGAGTGAACTGTCAGTGGGCAGACTTGAACCGGGGATTGCTTCAGAGGTAAAAAGAACTTAAGCCAGAGCAATCCTTATCTTGGGAGAAAGGTGAAAGGCAGCTCAAAGGTGTGCCTGGGATGGTGGAAAGAACGTGGATTTCAGCCAGACCTGAGTTCGGTCCCTGCACACACTCACTATTGCATTGTCTTAGACAAGTTACTTCAACGCTCAGAGCCCCTTTCCTTACCTCTGAAATGAAGTGGTTCTTTTTTCTTTTTTTTCCAATGCTACTTACATCTTTTATTTTTGGTCCATGATATCAAATAAATAGACCTTTTGTTTCCTTGTAAGTACCCTATTCTAAGACTATTTATTTTTTAGTTTTGTCTTTTTAAAAATTTCTTTATTGATGAAGGTATCACATATTAGTCCTCATCCCCCCATTCCTATCCCAAACCCCTCGCCACGTAAGTCCCCACCTCCCTGTTGTCCGTGACCACTGGTTAGGCTTATATGCATGCATACAGGTTCTTTAGTTGACCTCTCCCCCATGAAGTGGTTTTTGAGGATTAAATGAGTTCAGGCCTAAAACGCCGTGCACAGAGTAGTGAACAGTCAGTAAATGTCAGCGTTCTTCTCCTACCCGTGTGTGATGAGATTCATTCAAGTGTTAATGCTGAAGGGATGGGACTCTCTCTTCCCCACATAACTTTCTGGTAAATGGAAAGAGAATTGTCTGACAGTAGGGGAAGAACAGTGGTGACTATTCAGTTTTGTAGTATTTGCTTACTACGTTTTCCTACTCTACAACTATCAACAACAACAACAAAAAAGCCCTTAGTATTCCTAAATAAAAGATTTTTAAGGTTCTTAAGAATAAAGGAATTTCTGAGTACTACTCGTTGGGGGTAATCAAAATGGAGGCTTAGGGGGGAGACCAGTATTGACAAATCTCTATCATTTTTTTTGTTTGTTTGTTTCTATTTTTCCTCTTCTCCTTTTTTCTAGAGAGAAGGAATTGGACTGAGAAAGGTTTAGACTAGATAGGATTGACTGGATAGGAAGGCTGAGTTTTCTTTTAATTTATTGATTTGAGAGAGAAGCACCAATTTGTGATTCCACTTACTGATGTATTCATTGGTTGCTTCTTTAAAAAAAAAAAAAAAAATATATATATATATATATTATTGATTTTTTTTATAGAGAGGAAGGGAGAAGGATAGAGAGTAGAAACATCGATCAGCTGCCTCCTGCACACCCCCTACTGGGGATGTGCCTGCATCCAAGGTACATGTCCTTGACCAGGATTGAACCGAGGACCTTTCAGTCCACAGGATGATGCTCTATCCACTGAGCCAAACCGGTCCGGCTCATTGGTTGTTTCTTGTATGTGCCCTGACCAGAGATCAAACCCACAACCTTGGCATATCGGGTTAATGCTCTAAACCTGCGGTCGACAAACTGCGGCTCGCGAGCCACATGCTGCTCTTTGGCCCCTTGAGTTTGGCTCTTCCACAAAATACCACGGCCTGGATAAGTCTATTTTGAAGAAGTGGCATTAGAAGAAGTTTAAGTTTAAAAAATTTGGCTCTTAAAAGAAATTTCAGCCCTAACCGGTTTGGCTCAGTGGACAGAGCATTGGCCTACTCCCTGAAGGGTCCCAGGTTTGATTCTGGTCAAGGGCATGTACCTTGGTTTTGGGCACATCCCCAGTAGGGAGTGTGCAGGAGGTAGCTGGTCGATGTTTCTCTCTCATTGATGTATCTAATTCTCTATTCCTCTCCCTTCCTCTCTGTAAAAAAACAATATATATTTTTTAAAAAAAAAGAAATTTCAATTGTTGTACTATTGATATATGGCTCTGTTGATTGAGTTTGCCGACCACTGCCCTAAACCAACTGAGTTGCCCGACCAAGGCCAGGAAAGACTTAAGTTTTCTGAACTAGACTTGACATCTCAGCTCAGACTTGGTAACTCAGGCAGCCCTGACATGCTTTTAACGGCACCTGCGGCACATTAAGGCCATAACTTGCCCTGTCTTTGTCCCTCTATATGCCTCAGCTGTGTTTACTTACTCCTCCCTAATCCCAGGCTGTGAAACCAACTGGGTTTTATTTTTTGTTTAATTACTTAATTCATTCTTTCATTCAGAAAACATTTATTGAGCACCTCCTATTAACTGGTACATGCTCAGGCAGGTAAATAAGGAACAGTCCTAATTTAGTCGCTCAGGTGACCAACAGCAAGTCAGACTTCCTGCAAGTGCTCCGTCTTCTCTTGTATCCCAGGTCTGGTGATCAGATTCCTGCCATGTTCAGAGAGCCAAACCCAAGAGCCCTGGGCATCTATTCTCTGATCCATATCTGAGCTTTGACCTTTTCCTGCTGGGCTGCCTGGAAGATTGGAGTCTCAGCCCTGAGTCCCACCCCCAGGATTACATCCAACTCTGAGCACAGCCTCAGTAAAAGCCCTCTAGACCATGTTCCACTTAGTCCTCAACACTCTCCACACTGGGTGAAAAGTGAAAGGGGAAAACATAAGAGAAGAAAAGAAATCCGCCGAAACCGGTTTGGCTCAATGGATAGAGCGTCATCCTGGGGACTGAAAGGTCCCGGGTTCGATTCCGGTCAAGGTCATGTACCTTGGTTGCAGGCACATCCCCAGTAGGGGCTGTGCAAGAGGCAGCTGATCGATGATTCTCTCTCATCGATGTTTCTAACTCTCTATCCCTCTCTGTAAAAAATCAATAAAATATATATTTTTTAAAAAAAGAAAAGAAATCCCATCTCCACGGGAATCTCCACATGCTCCATGTAGGGTTGGCTCTCTGACTTTCTGTGCCTGCCTGTCTTCCTCTGCTCTCTTTGTTCTTGCCTGTCTTCATCATGTTGTTGAACTGCCTCTGCCAAGCTTTCTCCTGGCTCTGTCTGGTTATACTTCTTTGTGTCCAGGAAATCGGGTGACTTGTTTCTACCTCTCTCTTCTGTACTGAGCCATACTGATGCCCCCCAAATGCTGGGGCACAGAGTTCTGGGTAGAGCTGCAGAGTAGGCAGCATGTTTTGCCCTTCCATTCTTCTCACCCGAAGGAGGTTTTGGTCAGAGTCCTTTCCCATGTCCTAAAATGTCCTCTCTTTTCTTCAGTTAGAATGCCAGAATCTGGAGGTAATCTTAGGTAACTATTGATCTGACATTTAAATGGCACTTTGGCCTTAGGGACAGGCCGGACTCTCCCTGGTGGACAGATGTTCTTTAGAAGATGAGCTGGTTAGCTCTTATCTATACTTGGAGGAATGTGTGGCCAGATGCTGAGGGCAGTGGGCTTTCTAGAGTTCAAGGTTATCCAGTCTGTCCTCTAAAGTGATCCGCCATGGGGTCAAAATAATGGTGTTTTTTCAGCATCATGCAACTGAAAATTTTCCATCTTTGCTCCCTTTCCTTTGTGAGCCTATGTTAAAAAGAACCCTCCATGGAGGGAGAGGAGAGGAGAGAGAATGAGCATTGGCAAAGGGTATCACGCTGCTAGGACTATAATCATTGCTATTAAGTCTAAAATATTTTAGGAAGAAATTGGAAGAAAAAAATCTTTACCTGTAAACATGTTACATTAACTGTATTTGTTTGCTAGGGTTGCCATAACCATGGTGGCTTTCACAACAGAAATTAATTTTTCCACAGGGTGGGGGGGAAGGCTAGAAATCCAAGATGAAGATGTTAGCAGTGTTAGTTTCTTTTGAGATGTGAAAAATGGAATGCAGGGTAAAAAAGTGGAA